CTTTAATAAATGTATTTGTTCTTTACAATTTTAATATAAAAAATTCTAAAGAAATCAATCTTAAAAATTTTAGTTTACACGTGTCTCTTTCTCTCATTTAATTTATCAAAAATTAATCACCAAATTTATAGACAGAAAATAATTAGGAAATCTATCAGACGAGTTAATTATTCAGAAAAACAAACTGAACAATCTAACAAAATTATATCAATTTGCAAGTAAGTTGTATGCTTTTGCAAATATATATTTTCAAACGACTGAAAAATCTTTGTGTACACCATTTGAGCAAGTAAGAAAATGGAATTATGGAATACGTGTCGACGTAAACATTTAGGGACGAAGAAATATTAGCATCGGTAAGTGGAAACATTCGAGAACCCGCTCATGTGAGTAACGAGAGTCACTCAAGCACGCATACATTCCACATGTCCCGCATCTCGCAACTTCGTGAGAATATTCCTTCGCACTTGTCAAGCGCGTCGCAACACGAGTGCAAACAAATTATATTCCGACTTTCTTACATACCCGAATAATTCTGTCACATAATTCACGCTAAAAAATAACTAAAGGATAAATGTAAATGTGATGTTAAAGTTAATGCAAATAGAATTAAAATAAGAGCCTAGGCGCCTGTTTGGCGAGACGATGTAACAAAGCCAAATGTCGGGAGAAAATCACTAAGGATCATCGTTAAAACTAACATGCTTGTATTTTTTGTCCGACAGAGCTCGACAAAGGCTTCTCCGTTGACACTGACTACACTCGTAGCTGCCGACTGTATTTTGTTGACTGAATTATATTTGGTTGGTCTATGTGTCACTTTAAGAAATAACTTCGAAAATTGACAAAGGGGGGCGTTGAAGAGAAAGAGAGTTTGATGTGGATCCAGCTCTTTGTGCTCCCCGATTATCGCGCAAATCACCGTAAATTTCTTTCAAATACTACGCATTCTACCGATTCTGCTGGAAAAGAAACTCTGAATTCTGAGATATATCTTCTGTAATCTTTCCCCAAATATAATGACCCGAGCATAACTGCTTTTTACCTTTTCCTTAGCTACTGTTACATTTTTTCATCCAGATTAATTATTTCGCCTTGTTGCTTTCAACATCCGCATATGTTTGAAATCATGTATAGGTACATTTGAAAGGAAAATAATGTCAAGAGATAATGAAGATGTTGTAACGTTTTATATATTTACATACTTTATAATTTTCTATTTACAAGTACTTATGTGTTATAGAGATGTTTTTTATATTATCAGAAAGAAATTTTTATATATATTTGGCGATGCTTTTGCTTGGTAATACTGTTGAATTTCCATTTTTTATCCAAATATCGGGATAAGTTATAAATTGTTTATATAAGTATATATATATATATATATATATATATATATATATATATATAATTAACACACACACATGCATACACGCACGCACTCACGCATACACGCATACACGCGCGAAATGTCAGCAAACAAAAACTATACAACTAAGATTATTTCATTATTTTCTTTTCTTGCACAACAGAGTAAAAAGCCTCTTTGAAGCCTCTTTGAAGCCTCAACTTTGAAGATAAATGTATAAAATTTTGTATTGCTTTTCAAGCTATAATATATTAATAAAATTTAAATTTAAATTTATCACAACTTTTTACATTCATTTTTACATCAATTTTTCATGTGTTTCATATTTTTTATATTCATTTAATTGTTTTACATTCTCTTTATATATATGCCTCTCTCTCTCTCTCTCTCTCTTTTGATAGTGAATTTGATTAAACGGATTACTAATATGCATTGATGTAGATTAAAATTCTTTAAAAGTTGTAGAATTGTTGCATCTGCCATAGCATGTGTAGAAGAACTATAATAATATAATAATTATTATATATTAAAAATTATAATAATATAAAATTTGAATATTACATTTATCTATATATACTCTATTAAAATTTATTAAAAGTTTGTTCTTATCATAGCTCGCTTTTATTCTTGCGCATCTTTATAATTGCATAATTAATGAAATGATTAAAAATTTATATTTTTTAAAATTATTATATGTTAATAAATTGTGTGTTAGAAAACTCTTAAACTAAAATTAGATACCGTATTAAAAAATTTGTAATTATTTCACACACACAAGCAATGCACATGCAAACTCAATTTTTAAAAATAAATTTGCGCAAGATATATGTATATTAGAGACGAGAGAGACAAAAGTGTTCTAAATCTTTTGTAATACCTGTTAATGGTAGATTTTTGAGATCATTTGCCAATAAAATCTTAATGTCAAATATATTTAATATACTAAAAGTACTTAGAAACGAATGACATCTCTTATATCTTGTGATTGTACAAATATATAAATAATGAATTAGATTATATTACATTTTTATTAAATAATTATTTAATAATTATTTAATAATAATAATATAAAGGTATATCAACATTGATTTGTACACTTTTGTCATGACAGATGTCATTCGTTCGTGACACATTTTCTGTGTGATAGTTTTGATAATTCTATATACATCGCGTTCTAAGTTCTAATTCTTCTACTAGATTTTTTCTAGATTTTTATTAAGATTCTATTATTAATACAATATTCTATGAAAATTTTTTTATCTATATATAAATAAGAGAAATTAAAAACTTTTAAAATATAACGATCTATTATATATATATAGGTATATTAAGTTGATGTTGAGAATAGAATTAAAACTTTCGAAAATATTTTCATTATGTTATATCTGCTATTAATTGATATTGCAATCTGAAATGTATATTTGTATGCTCTATGTAAAACTTTACATTTATTTGAGAAAATTGAATTAGAGTTTTCTCTCCATACATCGTAATACTATTATGTATATTTATAGTCTTGTAATTTGATTTTTCTTAAAATGTGAAATAAGTATGATTAAAGTATACATTAAATTAATATAGCGGAAAATCGTGACAAACGTTTTAGTCCTTCGCTGGACTCTCTTCAATGTAAAATGAAATGATACAAGGGTTATACAAATCCGTTAGAAATTAGAAATTAAATTTATACAATTAAAAACACAGATTATAAGCGCAATATAAGGTGTAATTAATAAAGAGAATAACGCCGAGAAGATTCCGATGTGCATTTCGAAATCATTTGTCGGGAATCCATCCACAAAATTATTCCAAGAAAATTGCGGTAACAACTTCAAACAACTCGAAATAACCGCCTATAAGATATTACAATTAAACTAAACGGATGGCCCGAAAATAAATTATTAAATAAAATCTATTAAGATAGACTTACATCAGACAGGTCTTGATATTAATCCAAGTTTCAACGTTATTTCTTTATCGATGTTGACAGGTGAACAGTCTTAATATCTGCGTTTTTAATTGTAATTATTGTAATATTTAGTTTCTAATTTCTAACAAATTTGTATAACCCTTGTATCATTTCATTTTACATTGAAAAGAATCCAGCAAAGGACTGAAACGTTTGTCATGATTTTTCGCTATGTATATCTACCAAAAATCAATTAAAAAAGATTTTTTTTTGTGACTACATTTTTAAATTATTTTATATAAGGAATGTAGCAATCGATTAAGCAACTTTTCAGGAGTTAGAAAAAATTTTATTATTGTCATTTTTTTACAAAATGGCGGCGGTAGGATCGCATAAGAAATATAGGAGGTCCTCCGCGGCGAGCAGTAGAAGTCTCCTAGATCACCATCTGGAACCATAAAAAAATTTTTTTCATTAACTACATGAGTATAGCTAGTGAAGTACACACGATCATAATTTTAGAATTTTTTTTCGCAAAATGGCGAGACTTAGAAAAAAAATCGAATTTTCGACGAAAAAATGCATTCGATTTTTTTCTCTAAGTCTCGCCATTTTGCGAAAAAAAATTCTAAAATTATGATCGTGTGTACTTCACTAGCTATACTCATGTAGTTAGTGAAAAAATTTTTTTATGCTTCCAGATGGTGATCTAGGAGACTACTGCTCGCCGCGGAGGACCTCCTGTATTTCTTATGCGATCCTACCGCCGCCATTTTGTAAAAAAATGACAATAATAAAATTTTTTCTAACTCCTGAAAAGTTGCTTAATCGATTGCTACATTTCTTATATAAAATAATTTAAAAATGTAGTCACAAAAAAAAATCTTTTTTAATTGATTTTTGGTAGATATAACCCCTTAATTTAATGTATACTTTAATCATACTTATTTCACATTTTAATAAATTCATGTATGTTTTTGATTAACTTTTTACATTGTTAATACCGTGATTTTGTTGCTCCTTTAGCCTTGTTTATATATCGTTACTTTAAACGGAGCCTTTATTTAATTAAATCATTTTTATGATTTTTCTTTTTCAGAATGACTTCCAACACATTGTTAATAAGTTGAAAGTTGGCTTATCTAAAAAAAATAGATTATAAAACTGCTGTATGTAGAATCGATGCATGTAAGAAACTATTCAAATTAACTCATATATCGAGACATGTAAATTGTGAATTGTGCATCGAGAAGAACATAAGTCGCGATAATTACATAGAACATTTTTCTATTTCCGATAATGATTTTAGGGCATTTTGTTAAATCTAAACCATATAAAAAATCATTATTTGTTCCTTTCGAAAATAAGCAAAGTGATCTTATTTTTATTAATAATTATTTTATCTTCAATAATAACTTATCCGAAAAGAAGTGCAATCTGTGCGATAAGAAATTCGATTGTATATCATATAAGACTTGAAAGTCATTTAAATGAAACTCATAATACAATGAAAATGATTTCGACTATATTCTATTTAAATAAAGATCTATATAAATTAGAAAGCTAAATAAATTAACGACTGAAAAGAATGTATCTTCTTTCCATGTCTTCGTATAAATAAAATAGCTCAATATAAAACATTAGAATAATGCTAATCTCGTAAATAAAAAAAAAAAAAAACATAACACACTTAAAACTCTCTACTTCGATGATTTCACTACGTTACGATGCCTTGTACATATCACAGATGATCCTCTCGATAGGAATAATACCGATAGTCCGCCTGAAGAACAGTTCTTCAATAGCGTGCGCTGACACGGACCGCAAGCTGGGCAGTAATAAAAGTAACTTACCGAACCTGAGAGCCCCCAAGGAGGCTCCACTAAGTCGCTGACCCAGGGTCCACTGGGCACTGTCCCTTAGCCGGGCAACGGAAGCTGGATCTCTAAGTCGACTTCCAGGACTGGGTGAGTTGGAGCTGCTGGTGCTGCGACCGCTAGACACCGGCTCGCTGTCCAGTCCAGCCTTGAAAAGCACTATCGCCCTGATGCAGGCGAACTCGTGCTGATCTAGATTCATCGCGTTGAATCCGGCCAGGGTCTCGCGGAATCGAGTCACCTCGATCGCCAGCTCGATATTCTGAGGCTGCAGCAAAGGCGCCGGATCCAGAGTCGGCAGCATCTGGGCCGCGGCCAGCAGAAAAAGCTCGCGCCAGGAGGATTCGAGTAAGGTCAGCTGGTCTTCCATCATGAGATTCGTGTTCGCCGCCAAATTCCGTGCCCAATGAACGTTCAAGAACAACAATCTTGCTGCCTGCTCGCACACAGACTCGGATGTGAGGGGAGGAATAATCGGCATTGTATGTAAATTCGGTGGCATCTGCAAAAAAAGATTTCGACGTTCTCGCTTGTAAAAATCAAATTTTTCTTATCCGAAACTCTTATATTGAAATAGGCGGGTATAAAAGTGTCCGAATTCTGTAGAAATCTTGAGAAAGAATCGACTCACACATTTATATAAATCCATTAAGAATTCGAAGGCTCTCTATGATTCAAAATAAATTTGAATTTAATAAGCTAGAAGAGCCATACGCGGATTAGCTATAGTGCGTTATCTACAACAATTAATTTTCCGTTGTAATTCAATAGTTGTGCACGGAGCACGAATTTTGCTTGGTATGATGACTTTTGGATTTTTAATTTGATATAAACACAGACGTATACCTTTGACATTTCCAACGCGTTGCAATGTGCGAGATGGACGAGAGGATGATGAGACGACGGTCCGGGGACAGGAACGCGTGATTCGGTTGGCCCTTTGGGCAAAGCTAGATCTAAAGCTACCGACGGCGCTACTATACTAGCCATCATTTCAGGTTCTTTGAAATATAGCGCCATTTGTCTACGAATTGTCGAATTTCGCGGGCCTCGTTCGTGCTGTACGGCTAGAAAAGGAAGAGTTCGTAATTTCTTCAAGATCTACGTAATTAATTAGCAATCGGCAGAAAACGGAAGTCTGACTTATTGGCTATGCGACTTATCAGCGAGATAAGTCATACCTTTCGAAAAGGATTAGCTAAAAAAGCTACCAAAGAATGGACTTATGGCCTTGTGTCTTATTGACGTAAGAAAACGACAACGCCTTAATTACCATCTTTGTTCATGCCGGATTGAATGCACTTTGCCAGCCTGCAGGCTCGACATTGATTTCTATGTGTCTTATCCACCGTGCAACCCCCTTCGGATTTTGCTTTGCACACATATTGACGATTCCTTCTAATCGATCGTTTAAAGAAGCCAGCGCATCCATCGCATGCAAATATACCGTAATGTTTTCCTGATGAGTGATCCCGGCAAACTTTACAAGGTATATCGTAAAGAATGCGACCTGGAACGATAGAAAAAAATATTCTTTACGCAATAAATTTTTTTACCTGAAAAAAATGTTTTACGTTGTTAAAGAAAGTAATCGAGCTTCAAAATATCTGCACTTATATATACCTATATCAATGCAAGTTGATCTTTTCTAATGATAGACACATTTTCGTGGAGAACATCAACTTCATCAATTTGGTCAAGAAATACATTGACGCGAAGAGACACCTCATCATTCCTTCGTCACTCTATTCGATACTCGGGCTTCGTGTCAACTTTCTCGCGGAAGAGTCGTCGCGAGAAGCGAGTAAGCACGGCATTGTCGATAACAATTGATGGAAGGGGCGCGTTAATCTCGGTCGGCACAAGATGTATTTTGGTTGGAACCCGTTTACGAGCGACAACAAGAATTCGGTTGAATGATGCTTCGGACGTGAATGGATCGATTTGTCGCCAAGTTAGTTCCCCGTTAGCAGTAGCATAACACACACATATACACTCATCTATATACTTGCTTCTTCGGTACGCGGAGAATGATGAGGGAGAGAAAGAGAGAGAGAGAGAGAATGGGGGTGCGTGCCCTCGCAATGGGGCACCAACTCCTTGTCATGGGCTCCGCCTACGCCATTGAGTCCTATCCTTGTGAATGGACCTGAATGGACCGGATGTGGCTGCTGCATTGAACGACCCTAAGTGAGCAGCCAGAAACACGACACTTTGCGCGGTATCAGAGCCCGATCTCTCCCTCGATCAATCTCGCGTCGCGTTGCTTTCTTCATCTCCGTCTCCCTGTGGCTCCGCGATTACAGCGATGGCAAATGGCGCGAGAACAATTCGGCCAGAATTCGTCCCGACTGACGCGATAAATAATCGTGCGACAACCTGTTGATTATGGCGCGGCTGACGATTTTAAGTCAAGATATTATCGCGTTCTCCATTAGTCTCTTCGTACACGCGAGCATGAAAATTCTGAGGGACCAACACTATTTCTTGCGCACCTTGATTATCAATAATGGCGATAAATCGCAAAGTTTGCTGCTACAAGCCACTTTCGTTTCTTTGTAATGTCTATACTTATAAGGCGGTTTTCCCCTTTTCTTTCGATCCCGAGAGACAGTGTCTCCGAGGGTATAAATCATTAATGAGGGTAATGCGCAAAGTGCGGCGCACATGTTCAAGCACAGAAAAGTAGACGGGTTACGACCGAATGACAGAGGGCTGTACGCCCTTTGCCGTCAGTACGAGGAATGTCCACTTTTCCTTTTTTTTTCCCTTCGAGCAGGAGAGGGAAACTCGAAACTCGTGCGTAAACGTTTCTCATTGTATGCGGCACACGCATCGGAATCACGCAATGCATGCGTTTCTGCACTCGCCGTCACGTGGCTGCATGAAATTTGCATTCAGGTAGGCTCGCGAGTCATTCGCGATTGAATTTTTTATCATTACCGAGAAATCGAGCTCCGTCTTCTTCTCTGTCGGGCGCCGATCATCTTCCTTTTCTGTCAAATAATCACAGGATTTTTATAGTGCGTATTGTAAATGCGGATTATATTCCTCCAGGTATATTCACCTCACCCTGGAACGGGAAAGAGGGTGAGGGTGAGTTTAGGGAGACGGAGAAAAGGAAGTCCCTTTGCGCGGTATTGCTATAAAAATCGCATAAATATTTGACGAAGCGCATGAATGCGCGCAAGCTCGCGTTTCCGATCGAGCATATATGCGAAAAATACTGTCATTAGCCAGACCGAAGGTGTGGCTCGAAAAAAAAGAGGGGAATGTAAAATCGTGCGGTGTATACGCATCAATATAAGTATTGCTCTAAAGCGCGAGCGCATATGCACGTCTGCTCCTCCCCCATATCAATTATTTCATTTGTGTCCGTCGACGAAAAACCTGCGACCGAAAAATGTGCACCCGCGCGTCAGAATTATAAACTTCGGCCAAAATATCCCGCACGTGAGATATCCGACATAATGGTTAAATTCGTAAAAGAAGGGAAGAGGTCGCGCGAACATGGCCGGATGTGATTCACCGAATTGCGGGGTGGCTTTACTTTTCGGCCGGAGTTCTCTCCTGACAGTGCCGCGTGTTTCGTGACCACGAAATTAAGGGAAAACTTTGTCGCGAGCGCATCACCGCGGGCTGCGCGCATTCGCATGCAAAGGGTGAACAAAGAGAGAGAAACGTCTAGGACCGAAGAGCAGCCTTGGTAAAAGCCTTGTTCTCGGATCGTAGTCTCGCGTGCAAAATTCTGAACTTCTCGATATAATTGTAAGGGGAGTGACAGTCCGAGAGTCCTCTTTAGTATATGAAACGCACCCTCTTTATATGCTCGGCGTACGATGGCCTCGCCGTTTGGACGCCACGAATTTTTTTTGTCGCCAGAAAATAGCCATTCTGCCGTCAAACTTTCTCTTCTGCGAAACTTTACTTTGTGATATGTCTGCGTGCGTCCTCGGCAATCGAAAGTCAGATATTGTCGCGCGGTTATCGTTATTGTTATCATTATTTATCAAGTTGTAAAAAGTAATTCATAAAATGCAACTAATAGTTCAGAATTTCAGTGATACTCTCAATGTAAATTTGTAATTAATAGAATATTCAGGTATTAAAAGAATTACATTTTTAATTTCACCGAGAGATATTGTCGCGCGGTTATCGTTATTGTTATCATTATTTATCAAATATAACGTAGATATTTGAGAATCGTCAGACAGAATTTAAAAAGGTAAAATTCTTTTCTCAACCGTACCGGCAAATATTATTTATTCAATCACAACGTTTCGACTCTTCTTTGAGTCCTTATAAAGTGATCTAGATATACATAGACAGAGATTAATACAATAAAAAAAACAAAATTACTTCACTAACAATATTGCAAAATGATAAAAAGAAAAAGAAGCGAAACATACTTGTAAAAATAAAAATAAAATTATAATTTTAAGATGTCAAGAACGAACTTTTATTATTTATCAAGTTGTAAAAAATAATTCATAAAATACAACTAATAGTTTAGAATTTCAGTGATACTCTCAATATAAATTTGTAATTAATAGAATATTCAGGTATTAAAAGAACTACATTTTTAATTTCACCGAGAGATATATTTATTACAACGTTATAGGGTTTTACATGACTTTGTTCTCGTCATTTTGTCATTTCACGCCCCATCAGGTGACACGCAGTAAATGAGCATGGGAATATAGTGACATGTGTTAAAAACCAGTCGTTTGCTATCAAAGTACACATGCACCTATGTGTATAGATGATCTAGTATAAGGGCGATAATTATCTACGTCATCTGCTTATTTCATTGATGCATTCTTTTGCGTTAGAACGCAAAAATATATTTATAATTTTAATACTTAGAGCCACAATTTCATGATAAGAGATTATTTGCAGTCTCTTTAAACTCCATAATTAAATAAGTAAATTCTTTAAAATTTTTTAATTAGATAATTAAAAATCCGAGTATTTTGTTTTAAATATATACTTCATATATATAAAATAAAAGCGGAACGTTAATGTAACTACGCATCTTTAGCTCTGTAAAGCCATGCGCCAGTTTGCATAATTAGCCCGATGTGTTGCACTGATTGGGAACCAAATGACGCTGCACTCAACCATCCGCGACAACCTGTTAGTCGACCATCACGGTGATTCGTTTCCGCTGCATCATTTCAAACCATCTGTCGTTATTTTCTCATGGATGACTTACGCTTGGGGATGGATAGTTTTTAAATGCACGATCGTCTACTATATTTAAAGGTACCACATGTTTGTTGTTTCACACGAGATAAAATTAATCTGCAGTATAAGATACCATAGAAAATATTAAAATTGATACGCCGCGATCGATTTCTATGTAACAATGTTTATATGAAATTTTATTTCACGGGAATGTGGGCATTATAAAATTTTATTACTTATTGACATAAGTTAAATGCGAGTGCTATATATATATATATATTCATTTTTATTGAGAGTTATATAAAATACGGTCGCAAACCGTTCTAAAACCTTTCTAAGACTTTGAGAGTAATAAAATATATTTCAAAGAACGACGATATTTCAGGTAAGAATTTCGAGTTAATTACATATATATATATATATATATATATATAACTTTAAATGAAAAATTTTTACATTCCAAGAATTAACTTGTGATAATTAACGAAAAAGTGCAAAAAAAAAAAAAGAAGGTAATTATCCAACAGATCGTAAAACGAACAAAACTGAACACATTTCTCTTTCTTCACTCCTAATACATTTAATACATTTATATTATTATAATACATTGTTATAATACATTGTTACAAATAAATTTTTATTTTCATCTTTAAGAATTCAGCAATTCGAGAAATTTTTAATTGTCATACGTATTAATCAGATAAGAAAACAATTTTAACTGCTGTTAACTTCTTACTTCGTTGTCGTGACTTCTCATCAACTCCCCCACACTATGACTCTGAACGAGAAAGAAAAACACATAACTAGTATCATTAAAACTAAGAATATAAATCAATAAAACAATAAGGTTCTGAATGTGTCAATTTATAAAATTAAAAAAAAACTAATAAAGCTAAAAACACTGGATGAAGACTATGAATAGGAAGTTACTAAATAATTTTAAGCACTGTTTATTAATTTAAACTACAACTGTAAATTAATATAAATTAACAAACACAATTAAAATTATTTCCCAATTCTAAAATAGGCATGTTATTGACATTGTCACTTTTCCACGATGCTGATTAGTTGTCTCTATTCGCGTTATGCGTTATATTCATAGCCTGGAGCAGCTGTCACGAAAGTTAACAGTTTGACAGTTGTTCAAGTAAAATTAAATATTGTAAAATTACAATTATTAAAAAGTTAAATCATACGCATGCACGCGCACACATATTACATAAAACCCCACGCAAAGCACGCGCTTGTGTTAATTTCTTATCAAAAGAAAACCTTTTTTATTAACATATATTTTTATAAAAAAAAGGTAAGAATCTTCTCTCGACCGGCAAATATTATTTATTCAATCACAACGTTTCGACCCTTCTTTGAGTCCTTATCAAGTGATCTAGATATACATAGACAGAGATTAATACAATAAAAAAACAAAATTACTTACTAACAATATTACAAAATGATAAAAAGAAGCAAAATATACTTGTAAAAATAAAAATAAAATTATAATTTTAAGATATCAAGAACGAACATAGTGTCGGTTTGACAATACGTCAAGATTCTTAGACGAGTTACTGGAGACTAAACGACCTTTATTATTATTATTTTTTTTTTTTAAATTCTGTCTGGATTCTCAAATATCTACGCTTCTATATATTTTTATATCAAAAATTTTTATATCAAAAAATTAAATAAATGTTCTTTTTTGTTATATAGGATGGGGAGTTATAAACCATGCTAAAAGAAACTTTCTTTTAGTTTAGAAATATTGCGCAAATACTTTTAAATTATTTTACGCGGGGGCACTTTTCACCCTCTTATTCGGTTATAGCCTTTTGTGTTTTGTCGATTAATTGGATTCCGTTCCGAAAAGCTCAATATCGAATTTTCAATCCGCTCGCCAAATTAATTTATCTTTTCCGAGGAAAGAATGAAGCAACAATAAAGGAATGAATTATTATTATTTATCACCCGCAGTTTGACTGGGAAATGACGTTCCAGTATTCATATCTTGTATTAAAGTAGAATGAAGAGGTTTTCTCCACTTTGTCAATGGACAAATATCTTTTTTTTTTTTTAAATTGATCGCCAGCGATCGCTTGCATTGTACAACGTTTCAATTTATTAATAAGAAATGCGATTGATTTTATCGTTTATCGCCAAATATTTTAATCCGTTGACCATTATTTCCAAAATAATTATTTAAGAATTATGTCTATTAAATCGGTAATTTCGAATTCAAATTAAATTTCTCCAATTGAAGATTTAATTGAAAAAAATTCTCAAATATTGCTTTCAAAAAATGATAATTTATGCAATTTATTCTGAATTTTCTGAATAATGCAACATTATTTTTATAAAAATTAGAAATCATATTTTTCCGCTATTTTTCACATAAACTGTACATGCATATTAATTCCGATTAATTTGCATATATTAAGGACACATCACTGAATTTATGATGCTTTATAAGCTTTTTATTGTTACACGTGAAACAAGAAAAGTCAGCATGCTGTAGATAGAATAAAATAAGTGTAAAGGATGAGAATGAAAGATGTGTATTTACTTGAAGAAGCTGGCATCTTTGGAACTGGTGGTAAGTGCGGCAACTGTGTTTCTTGATTCTGCATTCTTCGTGTCTCGACACTACACAACTGCCATTCAGCAAGGATGAAGATAACTATGATGAACCGCGCCGTCCACAAAGAGTTTTTGTCAAAGTCGGACGTTTCCTTTGTCCAAAGGACTATTTATTTTTCCGCATTTATGGCATCACTCTTTCGGACTACACTGAGGACTAACTCCGGGGGTTGAAATGTGACTGAAAGTCATCGAGACATCGAGATAGTCCGACGAGACTTTTTGATGCCAAGCGCCAAGACCTTAGACATCTCGCTATGGTTCAAACTCATCTCATTGGCTGAGGGTTTCCCTACCCTCGGCAAAGGGCGGATCTGACGAAAGAAAGCGGTTCGCTCCCGGCTCGGGGTTGAACGCCGAGGCTATAGAGGGGTGCATTATCCCCGCTACTGCACTGCTTTGCGAGAGTCATCTCCCGCATGAAGGTGAGAAGGAAAGGTAACTTTTTCGCACCCCTTCTAGCATTGCACACATGATGCTCTTTACGTTGCTTCTTTGTACAGACCTTAACTCTCGAATTTATTCCCGATGCTGGTTGTTTATATTAAAAATCTGTACGTGTGCTCTTTCTTATCTATAATATTTTTCGAATATTCTTATTTTTGGTATGCCTATTCATTTACACTTACAAATTTGAAACATTGAAACAAATTCAAAGATAAAGGTTGAATCACAAAACTGCTGTTAAATCAAAAGGTATTAGATTTTTATTATAGCACACATAGTCAGATATCTTCATAAAAATTATGTTATGCGAAACATGTAATTTAGCAAGAAAGTTAATTTAATTTAATATTATATAATATCTTTATATAATTGTAAAAAATATTAATTTTCCTTTTTAAAACGTGCAAAAGTATTTCCGATGATAAAGTCTATAACAATTAAATAAAGAAATTGCTCGTATATTTCTATAAATATTTCACAAAAATTTAATTCGAGTTTGCATAACAATCAAATAGTTTTGCATTAAAAATTCTCATAATGCCATGGCGTGTTATAATAGTCTATAATTTTGCGGCACGACAAAGTGCGGTTTCAAAAAGAAATGCTGTTTAAGTATTAAATCCCTCACTTCCGCGGCCGTCGAAAAATCATTGATGCGTGCACTTAGAGAAGGCTCAGGTAAAAGGTAGACTTTTGTTAAAATTTCGCCATTAAATGTGCCGGTAAGAGATACGCAGCGGAGTGCATATCGTTGGAATAATAGCAACGTGGGCAGATGCGCCGCGGCTGACTCCCTGACTCCATCTTGAATTATCTCGTGCCTGATCCCTTCGGGATCCCCTTCGTCTGTCTATGTGTGTGTGTAAACGCGAAACCGGGTTGGGGTGCGAGTTGTTCCTGCACTCGATGAATTACGCCAGGAATCCGTCATAACTGATGTAATATCGCGGAGATTGGATCTCTCGATGACGTATCGCGCTCCCCCTCGTTCAAAAGAGTCCTATTCGAGTCGATGCTATCTCCGTAGATTACACCAGGTGTATTTTGTGATGCGTCGCGGGAGAAAACTCGGGGTCCTCTTCAATAATCCTAATTAATGCACGTTATTAATTCTTTGTGCGCGTGTACCGAGTCTTTAATAATTGAAGATGAAGCATTCAAATTCTTTCTAAATTATTTCACTAATAATTATATTATCGGAAACCCTGTATAGACTTGGAAAAGTCAGAATACTTTTTTGTTTATAAAAAGTTGTTTCGATCCTTTTTATATTATTATATATTTTATATCTTCATCGGATACTAAATTAAGTAAGATAATTGTAAGTCACAAACGGCTAAGAGAATTAGCGGCGCTCATCCATAATCTTTTCATCGATCATAGATACAAATATATTTTACAGCGCCTCTTTGATCTTTTCTTGGGAAACATTGGCAAACATTATTTCGAGGGTTCGCGTGGCGGAAAAAATTTTTACGAATAGAGACGTATCCTCAGTTCGAGATGTTTGCACCCTCGACTTAACCGGCATTGAGAGGCAGCAGGCCCGACGAGGCCGAATGCTCGTCGGACCATGCACAGTTTTGGCTTTGGCGCAATATGTTGGGATAGGAGATTATCTACGTAACTGTCCCGGGAATATGGACCCTGACAATGGCCACGGCGCGCTCCTCCGATCTGCACCGTATTCACGAAGGGGGAAAAAGTTTCGCGGACCCGAATAAGAGATTCGAGTCGCTTTGTCAAGAAGGCAAACGCGCCTAAACAGCTGGTAATGGGACCGGAATCAAAATACAATTGTCCGCCACGACGGCAACCGTGAAACCGTGGATTCTGCGCTGCACGGAAACGCGATGCAATAACAGTTTGAAGGGAACGATGTTGTTTTAGGGTGACATTTTAGGGCGTGGATTGTCCTTGATTCGACGACAATTTTATTTGCGATACGGTGTAACACGTAGGCGGGTTGAGAACCCAGACAACACCATGTCTAAAAGTGGTTTATAAGATATCTTAAGTAGTCTTTAAGACGTCTTATGATATGAAGTTTTTGAGAAATCTTGCAATATTGATAAAGTAGTCTTTAAGAAATTTTATGATATGATATCAAAAGACGTTTTAAGGTGTTGTCTGAGATAAGGAGGAAGATAGGAATGGCTTTAAAATACATAGAATGTACATTTTCATCTTATATTTATATTACAATATCAACGTTACCCTTTACTTTTATTCTTTTATCTGTAAGATCTTAAAGCACAAGGACAAGAATGGAATAAGTCAAGAATGAAATAAAGTTATCGGAAGCGAAAAAAGATTAAAATGATTGGCGCTTATAATAGGGTCAGTAAAATAAGAAAGAGTTTTTCTCGGTACGAATAAGGTCAGTAAAATAAGAGTTTTTCTCGGTATAAATAAGAATAAGTGATCCAGCAACTACGACATAGTACATAGCAGGGTAAATATTACAATAAAAATCAATGAAAATGATGCGAAAAACGAGCTCAGGTAGCTCTGCAGCTTCTATGAATTCCTGCTGTTATTGTTAGGGAAAACCTTTCAGATTATCCCGTCAGACTCATTCCATTATTACCTGTGTTTGGTAGTTATACGAAAGTTTTAGAAGATTCTATCCACGTAATATGTAAAAATTTTTAAACTATATTCAGCTTTTTTTCAACCATATCAAACATATCACTTACTCTCTATCCTGTAATTGTAATTGATTTGAATGTTATTATAATGTTTTTAGAAACTTTTGGTAACATCTTCAAGATCGTGATTTTTTTATTATTTAGTATAATTAAGCGAGGTAAAGAGAAAAATCGATAATGCGATTTTATTTTGCTATTCCTATATTGCTTGTAAAGTTTCAAAACTCGATACTAAATTTTATTTTACTCCTACACAACTACAATTTGATCCCATTTTTTTATCTCATTACAAAAATATTTTTTTGATATTTTGTAGAATATATTTTTATGATAGAAAATCTTGAAAATAATTTGACAGAAATTTAAATTAATTAAAATTGACTTGAACTTTTTGTAAACGTTAAAAAGATACATTGGAGCCTTGTTTCCACATTTTCAAGTTAAATAATTCAATTCCTTAGTGAAAAGTTTATAAAAAAATTTTTTTATTTATTGTCTTTGATAAAAGTCTACCATAAATAAAAAAAGAATCGCCTATTACTCCTTAGGTAGTAGGTTCTTGCAAAATAAAATTGATAGTTCTGTAGATATAGCGGCTTCTTTGTCAGAATTTCTAGGCCGGAATTCTGTGTCTATAGCATGGTTGACTTATTCACTATAGACACCGTGGGTCAGTCAACTAGAAATGGTATGTCGGTATTATTTTCTAGTAATGTTGCCAGAAAGAATGAACAAGTTAAGAACACTGTGTTAATGGGAAAGATAAGCTCAAGTTATGAGTTGACTTCACTCTTCAAAAATTCCTTTTCAACTTTTCAAAGATTGCCAATTCTTATGAAGTCCTTAAAAGTCTATTCCGTCTTTATAAATTATTGGTAAATAATTCTCGTATAATAATACGTTACAGTGAAAATATACGATCAAAATAAAAATATAAATAAAGAATAAAAAAATCTTGTTGTACACATATTTATTTCTGCATATCTATTGATATTTTCGATTTAGTAATCGAGACCTCTTTTGCAGTGCCCTAACTAGCCTAAGTTGCGCCCGATGCAAGTTCAACATTTTCCTTTTCACTCTCCTTTCCAAATACCTATAATTAAACTTCTATATTATTTGCTGCAGATAAATATATTTTTTCAAAATATTTTTTCAAAATATTTTTTCAAATTTTTTTATTTTATTCTCTCGACTGTGGCCCTTTGAAACTTGTGCCTGGTACAGGATATCAACAGCACTGTGCTAGTTACAGTACTGTTGTTAGAAAAGGAGACATTTATTAGCGAATATATTATTTTAGCAATAATGTATTTTCAAATGTATTTGATTTCAAATTATTGCAATTTGTGATTTTATTTTAACTTTAAAATTAAAAAAAGTAACTACATTTAAATTATTCACAAAACTATAATTTATCTTCAAATATTCTACGAGATAATAATTTTATAAAAGGGTATTTCTTTCTTTCAATATATTATTTTTTTAAATAATAATATATGATATATTGTATAATAATAATAATAATATATAATATATAATACATAATGGATTTATATATCCTTTTCCATTTTCCTTCAATTATTTTATTATTGGAATACATATATTAATTCTAAAATCATGTGTGCATATTTTGTATATCATACAATTAAAGTTATTTTATCAAATTTTTAAATCTTGCATATAGATTATGATTTTATATATTAGATGTTTAAAATTGATACAATCGAACAAATTGTTTGCTACCCGTAACAATCCGAATTAGAACAATGATGTAGCTACCTGTTGCTGCCTCCGTCTAGATATCACCGCATGCATCAGCAACTTTGGGATGGCAATATTATGGGAACTAACGAGCATATGGTCGGGTCAATATCGCATAAACGCGAGCATCGGTGATGGCTCCCGCGTTTTACCTGACTGTGGGGGAGTAAAAGCGGGTGCCCTTTGACGGTGAAACATACGAAAATCCGCCATATGCGCGAGCCCAACGCTCATGAGAACACTCGAGGTTTCTGGTTAAATATAATTTGACATGGGAAGCTGGTACGGAAAAAGCAGGTTGCGCAATGTATCAGCGATTCAGAAAA